CGCCACCTTAGGTGTATGTGGCTGGCGCCTTAGCCGCTTGAGCCACAGGCACTGAGCCGAGACTCGAAAATTAAAAAATAAAAAACTAGCCCAGGTGTGCTCACACCTGTAATCCTAGCCCTCTGAGAGGCCTAGGTAAGTGAATTGCTCAAACTCAGGAGTTCAAGAGAGCACAAGACCACATCTATAAAAAATAGTCAGGCATTGTCATGAGTGCTTATACTCCTAAAACTCAGGAGGCTAAGGGAAGAGGATCCCTTGAGCCCAAGAGTTTGAAATTGCTTGTAAGCTATGATGCCAGGGCACTCTACCAAGGGCAACAAAGTGAGAATCTGTCCAAAAAAAAAAAAAAAATATATATACACACACACACACACACACACACATAAAATACTGTTATACAATGTGTGTTTTAAGCTAAGTGTTATTACAAAACAGTCAAAAGTTAAAAACATATAAAGTTTGTGCAATAAAAGTTACAATAAGCTCAGTTGGATTTTTTTTTTAAGACAGTGTCTCACTGTGAGGTCTGACATCAGGGTACTCTATATAGGCAACGGAGTGAAACTGTCTCATAAAAACATAAAAAAAAAAAGAAGAAGAAGAAATTCCCTGGCCACTATTCCAATGCCAAAGTCTAAAGTATTCATCTGATCTCCAAGTTCTAGGCACAGTGGCTTACGCCTGTAAACAAGCACTATGGGAGCCCAAAGTATTGCTTGATGTCAGGAATTCAAGATTAGCCTAGGCAAGAGTGAGACTCTGTCTCTACTAAAAATTAAAAAAAAAAAAAAGCCCGTGGTGGTGGCAAGCACCCATACTCCCTGCTACTTGGGAGGGTGAGGCAGGAAGATTGACTGAGCTCAGGAGTTTGAGGCTGCAGTGAGCTATGACAATGCCATTGCACTTTAGCTGGGGCAACAGAGGGAGCAACCGGGGCAACTGTCTCAAAAAAAAAAAAGGAAAGAAAAAAAAAGAGGTTCGGCGCCTATAGCTCAAGCAGCTAAGGCACCAGCCACATACACCAGAGCTGGAGGGTTTGAATCCAGCCTGGGCCTGCCGAACAACAATGATAACTATAACCCCCTCTCTCCCCCCTCAAAAAATAGCCGGGCATTGTGGTGAGTGCCTGTATTCCCAGCTGCTTGGGAGGCTGAGGCAAGAGAATCACTTAAGCCCAGGAGTTGGAGGTTGCTGTAAGCTGTGACGCCACAACACTCTACCCAGGGTGACAGCTTGAGGTTCTGTCTCAAAAAAAAAAAAAAAAAAGAGCGAGAGAGCAAGAGAGAAGAAAAGAAATCAGGTTTCCATAGAAAAATCAGATACACTTCAACACATTTCTTCCCTGCTGGTAGATAGATGCCCTTTCCCTGCAGGTCAGTGAGAGGCTTGGCACATATGAGGGAAGGCATCTTGTACCAAAAATTATCCATTTGTTACTCCTCATTTCAGGCTGAGTGCACAGGGATCCACAGAAGTAGACTAACTGTTGGGATGGTCTGAAGATGCAACTGAGATAATGCAGAGTTTCCTAACCATAGGCCTTTAGGAAATCGAACTCATGGGGCAGGGAAGCGCGACAAAACTACAACCAGATCCATAGTACTGTAATTTGTACGAAGAACAGATGTTAAGAAACAGTGACACGTTTAGAGCCTAGATAAGAGGATCCTACTAGCAAGAATTTGTCAGAATTTACACAGCTGTATTCAGTAACTATTGGCAGATAAGAATTCCTATCTTGGCCTGGCACCTGTGGCTCAAGTGGCTAAGGTATCAGCCACATACACCTAAGGTGGCGGGTTCAAATCCAGCCTGGACCCGCCAAACAACAATGACGGCTGCAACCAAAAAACAGCCGGGCATTGTGGCAGGTGCCTGTGGTCGCAGCTACTTGGGAGGCTGAGACAGGAGACTTGCTTGAGCCCAGGAGTTGGAGGTTGCTGTGCGCTGTGATGCCACTGCACTCTACCCAGGGGGACAGCTTGAGGCTCTGTCTCAAAAAAAAAAAAAAAAAGAATTCCTATCTTGAGATGGTAACCCCACTGGGGAAAAGAGGTAAGCCATCAGTTCCCCATGTCCCTTCATTCTGGACTCATCCTCACTGAGCGACTTTCTGATTATTAATCTTGCCTTACCAGAAGGTAGCGTCTTTGGCACTAGACACAGGATTTTTTATTACGATGAAAGTATTTTTCCCCTCTCCTAACTAATAAGGTGTAGCTCCTGCCAATACTGGCTAGCATCACAACAATGCCCAAGTCACTCTCCACTGAGAGCTGAACACTCAGGCACTCAAGGGATTTAATAACAGACCTCATGAGGCTGCAAGAATTCCCTCTACAAAAACTCTAACTTTAAAAGAGTCACAAATTACATCTCTAAAAGATTCTTAAAGTTGCCTCTTTTCTTCCCCTTGGTCTTGGAAAGGAAAGAAAAGGAAAGGGAAGGAGAAAAAAGAAATTTAACTGCTAATATGGTCAGAAAGAAGCAGGAAAGGGAGCTGGTTGGGACAGAAGTGAAGATAGTAGGGCAGTGCCTGTGGCTCAGTGAGTAGGGTGCCGGCCCCAATACCAGAGGTGGTGGGTTCAAACCTGGCCCTGGCCAAACACTGCAAAAAA